TCCACTCACCTCAGCCTCCCAAAGGCGCAGGATTACAGGCTGAGCCACCGAGCCCGGCACTCCCCTCTACTTCTATCTCTCCATCATGTCACCATGTCCAGCTTCCACCTGGTGGAAACGGGTGCCCCTGGAGAGAAGAAGGGGGGAGCCTCCTATAGGAGAATGAAGCTTTTCTTCAGTCCTGTCTTCAAGTCGAGCAGAGGGTCGGAGAGGTGCCTGGTGTGTGTGTGCTTGGTATGAGCGCATACGTGCATCCCTCTGAGGATACTCTGGATCTAGGCCCGAGAGGTCCCGAGAGTGCACGGTGGGGAGGGTTGATGTGGCTCTGCACACTGCAGGGTGGGAACCCACACACCGAGAAGACACAGCCCCTGGGGTACGACTGAAGATCGCTCCGTGTGTGACTTTGAGCCCCCGAGACGTGTGGGGCTAGTATGTGTGTGCTTGTGTGTGCACAGGCCTTTGTGAGCCCACAGACTGGGCAGACCGTGGAAGATCAGACACAAGGGGCGCAACGCCCCCTGCTGGCCACACAGCCCAGCCGCTGCAACTTGTCAGCCCCGGGCCCACGTTGGACGATTGCCCAGACAGCCAGGGAGGATGTCACCTGCGGGACACTCAAGGCCTGTAACTCTCTCTGACTTGATGTTCCACCCACCCCAAAGGGTCTGTCTCCTAGAGGTCCACTATTCACCCTGCCACGCTCCCCCCTTGGTGCCCCTGTCAGAGAAAGGAACATAAACTGCAGGGCTGGAGGGAGAGGCCAGCCTCCCAGTCGTCGCTGTGCCTATGCCTGAGTATTTAGGAGACTGAGGCAGGAAGGGCTGCCCCCTCTTCTGCAGCTCCCCTGGAAAGCGGAAAGAGGGTGGACTGGGAGTAGGTAGGCTGCTCTTTTGTGGCCCTCGGGGACCTAAGTCTGAGGGACTCCCTTTGTCCTCCACCCCAGTCCATCCTCATCCCTACCCCAGCCCCATCCCTACAGCCCAAACCCAGGGCATGTGGACGAGGATGTACCGGGGTTGTGGATTCGGTGGACGAGGTCCCCCCCTGCTGGTCAGAACTGGCATTTGCAGCCAGGCTGCCCCTGGCCTGGGGCAGGTTGGGGGAAGTGGCATGCCGGGGAGGGAAGAACCATGTCTCCACTGGGGCCCTTGGGGCTCTCGCACACACTGTCGTGTGGTTCTCACTGTCAGCCTCTGAGGTGGGCTAGGGGAGGCAGCCTCATGGCAGCTCCCATGTACTGATGCCCGACTCTGACTCTGTAAGTCTGGGACTGTCTTTCGCCAGCCAGGGTCTTCAACTTCCCCTCCCCCCTCCCAGTCCATCTCCAGGCCCTGCTGGCCCCTCTTCTTCAGAGGCAAAACTGAAGGCCACGGGGAGAGGTTCCCAGACTTGAGGACAGGAGCTCGGGTTGGGACACTCCCAGGGGGGCGGGGTGTGGGGCCCCAGACAGGCGTGGGGATGTGCTGGTTTCTCTTCACCCGGCCCTGTCAGAGAAAGGTACATACCCTCACCCAGTGGTGCCTGGCCTGTTGGCACAAGCTCTGACTTCTATTCATGGTCTCGTTTTCTCCTCACGACAACCTGCGAGGTAGGTACAAGTATCTCTGTTCTACAGATGAGGTCAGAGAGCTTGTGTTGCCCAGAGTTGCACAGCATGAGTTGAACGTGGGTCACCCGACTGCGGGCTGGACCTCTCAGCTGTGACCTGGGCTGTGTGACCAGCTGCTCATTTGCATGACGTCCGCCCCTTTCCTCCCTAAAACAAAAGCATCTCACGCTCTTATCTCACCCAATTTCCACAACCATCCTGTGAGACAAGCATTTTTTTTTTTTTTTGAGACAGAGTCTCACTCTGCCCCCCAGGCTGGAGTGCAGTGGCAGTCATGGCTCACTGAAGTCTTGACCTCCTGGGCTCAGGAATCTTTTCACCTTGGTTACAGGCCCTCACCACCACACCTAGCTGATTTGTTTGGTTTTTTTGGGGGGGGGGTTGGAGTCTCACTCTGTCGCCCAGACTGGAGTGCAGTGGCAAGCTCCCAGCCACTGCAGCCTCCACCTGCTGGGCTCCGGTGATCCTTCCGCCTCAACCTTCCAAGTAACTGGAACTAAAGGCACATGCTACCACGCCCGGCTAATTTTTTGATTTGTTGTAGAGATGAGATCTCGCCAAATTGCCCAGGCGGGTCTTGAACCCGCGGGCTCAGGTAATTCGCTCACCTCAGCCTCCCAAAGCGCAGGATTACAGGCTGAGCCACCGAGCCCGGCTGGGTTTTTTTTTTTGATCTTCCCATGTTGGCCTCCCAAAGTGCTGGGATTACAGGTGTGAGATACTGGGCCCAACTGGAAGTCATTTTTTAACCGCCATTTTATAGATGAAGTGATGGTGTCTCAGAGTTTAAGGCTTCCTAAGAAGTGTCAGTGGCAATGGGACAAGAGCAGGCAAGAGCAGAGCTACAGGCCAGATGGGACACTGATGGTGGGGACACTGATGACAGAGACAGGAGAAAGAAGACCCAGAAAAGTGCCGGGCCATGTGTGGCTTCTGTGGGGGGGCATGAGGGACTGCTCCCTCTAAGAACAGGCTTCCAACAGGCCACCTTTTTGAAAGGCCAAGGTGCAGAAGAAGGAACCCAGGGCTGTGACAGAGCCTGGCTGGTCACTCCCTTGGCATCTCGAGGGGCTGCAGTTGGCTCACTCCTCCTCTACCCTGCCTGACACACCCTGGCACTGCCTTCAAGTGCCAGTCAAGCCCTCCTCGAGTGGCAGGGACTTGACATAGCCAAAGGGGGAGACGCAGGGGCAAGTGACTTAGGGAGGACCCCTCCTTCTGGGCTCCCACCGGCCCCTCCTTCCTGCCTGCTAGTTCTCTATGTGATCTCCTCTCTCCCCATCTCTCCTTGCCTCTCCCGGTCCATCTCTCTGATTCTCTGGGCCTCCTGTGGCCTCAGCCTCTCTTTCCACAGAGGATACTCGTCCTGGAGTCCCCTTGTGGCCTGTGGAGATCGTGGCGGGGGTGACAAAAGGGAGGGGGGCTGGGCCAGAGTGTCCCAAGGAGAGGCTTCTGAACAGAGTCGGAGGCGGAACGTGAATACCAGTGGTTTATTGGGAAGCCCCACTCCAAACACCAGCAGCCCCACTCCATGCATCCTGGGCCAGAAATAAATAAGGCGGCATTCAATGAGCTAGGCTGTCTCCCTCCTAAAGAGCTCTGGGGAGGGTCCGCCTGCCCGCCTAGGGGCTGGGATGCCCCCGGCTCCCAAGGAGGGGCTGGGGAGGGCGAGAGACGCATACTACCGGCCACCCACTTCTGGCCAGCCCTGGGCAGCCTAGGAGCTTGGCTCTGCCTTCATGATCTCTGAGGTCTGACCTGGCGGCAGCAGTCTGCCCTGCCCCAGAGATGCCCCCTCCCCACCAGCCCCCAGCCCCCGGCCCCACCCTGCGAGTCCCATCACAGGACCTGCTCCCGTCTCTAGATGCACAGCCAGCGGACCCACACCTCCTCCCCGGCAAGAGGCCCAGCTGTGGGGAGGAAGCTCTGCTGTCATCTTTCTTTCCTTTCTTCCCCATTGCTCAGGGGCTGAGGGCCTGGCCTCTGCCTGACCCTGGTCAGCGGGCGGTCAGCTCCATGGTCTTCTTCCGCTCCTCCCGCTGCTCCTCCCAGTCCTCGTCGGGCTCATACGTGCCCTTGATGATGGCCACACGCTCGCTCAGGCTCAGGGAGTGCGGGAAGAGCAGGTAGAAGTAGAGGATGGCAGCCAGGACCGCCCCCACGATGGGCCCCACCCAGAAGACCTGGTGGAGACAGGGCAGGGGTCAGGGGGCTGAGCTCTAGGCCTGAGAGACAGCCCCCTGCCAGAGGACAGACCCACGGAGAGGAGATGGACCCACAGACATTCAGACCTCCAGAAGGGAAGACCCTCCTACCTCAGGGACAGATGTACTGACACCCCACTCTCTAGGGACAGAGACACGGACCACAGACACCCAGACCCTCAAAGGAGGCAGAGAGACCCCCAGAGGGACAGAGGCACAGAGCCCCTCTCCCGTCTACATAGGGACAGAAACAGACCCTGGGGAGAGTGACCATGAGCTCTCAAAGGAGATGACGGACTGTACAGTGGGACAGATCCACAAGACAGTTCTGCAAATCCCTTCCACAGGGACAGGTTAAAGCAGAGAGGACCGACACACAGATGCCCAGAGAGAAGGCACAACATCCTCAGCGGAGAGGAGATCAACACAGATCCCTCTGTGCCTCTGGAAAAGTACAGATCCCTTTTCCCAAGGGGGACAGACACTCATACTCCCTGTCCCCAAGGGCTCAGACCCTATAAACCCACCCCAGCCCTTCTTCTGGCCAAATTCCATCCCCCACTGTGTCCCCCGCTCTCTCCAGCCACCATCCCCAAGCTCTGGGCTGGCAGCACCCAGGAAGTTCGGTCACCGTCACCTCTCAGCCGCCACTGCCAAGCTCCAGGCCCTCACAGTCAGGGAAGCCAGACTCACCCAGTGTGCAGGGCTGAACCGATTCATGACCACTGCGGGGCCGAAGGAGCGGGCAGGGTTCATGGAGCAACCGGTGAAGTAGATCTGGGTAGAAAGAGCAGCGGTGAGGAGGGCAACTTCCCCCACACAGCCTGAACCCTCCTGAGGTTGCACAGCAGGCCAGGCCGGCCAGGTCTCACACTCAGATCTCCCAGTTCCTAGGCTGGCGACCTCCCCGTCCATGATCCCCACTGCCCAGTTCCCCACACACCCCTAACTCTGCCTCCTCACTTCTTCGTCCTGCCCCGACCCCACCTCCCACCGACCCATCCTTCCTCAGCCAAGGGACGCTTTTGGGGGGGCCAAGTCTGGGACCCCAAATTCAGGCCTTCAACTCTGCCGGACTCATCGGCCTGAGGGAGACCCTGCTCTGGGGCTGCATCCCTTGCCCGGAGTGTCTCCCCAGCTCCGGCCCCACCGAGCATCAGCACTGCTCACCCCCACAAGGTGGCCCAGCGTGACGGACAGGCCAATGGACAGGGCCGGGGAGCCCACGGGGCTGGTGCGGCGGGAGTCGGTGGAGGCGAAGACGCAGAGCGCCAGCTGGAAGGTGAGAATCAGCTCCACTGCCATGGCCTGGCCCGGAGTCGTGTTGTTGTTGAGCTGTAAGGGGAGGGTGAGTTAGGACCCCCGCCGCCTTCTGGCTCTGTGGCCGGGGGCTTGGGGAGTGGGGTTTCGGCCTCCAGGGACACCTAGAGCACCTTGGCGCCTGGACACCAAGCCCTGTGCACGTCGCCTCAAAGAAGCCATTTGTCCATGAGACTAAGTAGTTCACAGTTTGCACAAGCTTGACTCACAGGCCCACGTCCAGAGGGCAGAGTTATCAGGGGAGCTCTTCCTGGACACGGTGCTGTCAACGGTTCTGCCCAGTCCCCAACCCCCAGAGCTGGCATTTGCCCTCCCTCCTGCGGGCAGCTGCCCAGTTTGCCTACCGCACCCCCCACCCCGGCCTCCTGCCCGTGCCTGACCCGATGCCAGTGCCAACCTCAAACCCGTCTCTCCAGTGCGGCTGACTCACGGCTTGACAATGGCCGAGAAAATCCTTCTCTGTGTTTGATTAATGAACCCAGTTTGCATGGGGGGGGTGCTGAACC